GAGTGGAGAAAAATACAACCTGTCACAAGATCAGAGAATCCTGCCCCTTTTACCAGCAATATTCATTTTGAAGCGTGAGGTCTTGTAGGCTTTCCTGATTTCTAAATCTGGAATTCTGCTTCCCTATAGAGATCTTTGTTATTTGATTAGTCTATGATACCATCTACATTTTCCAGATTCTAGATTTGGCTTCCATGAATCAACTTTACTGATTTTTTAGACCCTGGTCTCTCTTTTCCTGTTTTTCCCAGTTTAATTGAACCCATGGACTTTCTGGACATTCATTTTTCCACTTTTTAATTAACAATAAAAATTATGGGACTAATATCCTCTAGGCTGCTTCGAGGGATGGAATACAAATGCAAATAAGACAGAGAATCTATCCAACTCCAATCCAATAGCTCTCTCTGGCTTAGCTAACCAACTGGTTCAATTTTTTTCTCTCATGTTATGTGTGTGTATGTGTATTAATTTCTCAAGGTCTGTTTATGATAACTGTTATGATTCCTTTTCATTTTTTAGTTTGTTTTTCAATTTGATAAGAAATATATATACATACTTACATATGTAATATATATGTAAGTATATATATACATACATATGTAAAAATGTGTAATATATATGTAAGTATGTAATATATTTCTTGTCCAATTGTGTGTAGGTCTGTGTCTACACATATATATGCAAATATATAAAGAAATGTACATATTCATATGTTTATTATAACTATATTATATCATAAATTCATGAATATATTATATTCACATACAAATGAATAAGAGAAAATACAGAGAAACCAAGGAGAATAATCACCTACAAAATCTCCCAACTCAGAAACAAGTTTTTGTATAAAATCTTACTACCTATAGTAAGGCTTTCTGTAAATAACTCAAAATGAACTTATTTATTCAATCAACCTAGTCCAATCTATACAAAATAAGTCAAATATGCCAATCATTTCACTAAAGTGCTGTTTAATTAAATTAAATAGAAATCCACATGAAAGTGCTATAAGTACAAAGTTTGTGGCAAAATATGATATTTATTATATGTATGAGATATATACATGTGTCTATATATATATATATATAGTGAATGTGGCAAAGGTATTAGATGAATACCAAAACATTAAACATTTCTAACTTACAGGGAACCTAAATCTCTTCCTCAAATTGACTTACCGAATAACTGAGTCAACCAGAGCTTATGAAAATTTATTACATTTCATCTTGAACCCCATTTGGGAACAGGGACAAAGTTTCTCTTCAAATTATAACTCACAAAGCTACTGCAATTTTACATGCACCATCAATATTGATTAATAACCATGAAAATAAGGACTGCCTTGAGCCTGACATAATTCTATCTTCAGGGAACCTTCAGATTATCATGGGACGTGAAGTTCCGTGTTTGTTATATAGCACTGTGCTCAATTTTGGGTTTTGACAAACTAAAGTTTGTTCAGTAGGTTTTGGCTAATTTCCTTTGGGATATCAGTTCAGTAAAATCCATGGATAGTGCTTCTAAAGGGGTAAATTCACAAAATTAATACTTTCCAAATTTCCTCATAACCAGGAACATACACACTTACACTCACACACCTACGCTACCTAGCTATCACTGGTGTACGTGTGATAAAATTATTCCAAACTAAGGCAAATTTTAGATCTTGACCAGAAGTCTGAACAAACTTACATAAAATATTGATTCAAGAGATGTAAATTTAATTGATCAATCAGTATTCAATACAATTCTTCATGGCACATTTAAGAAAATGTGAGCTATCAAAGGTATAATTTGAGAAGCAGCAGAAAACAACATTGAATGTTTAAAACCATTTAAAAAATCCTGTTGAGTCTATTTTCTTAATATTTTTAATATTGTGTTGGCACCAACATTTCCACTTATGATTGTACTTTAACTGAAATTAGTTCTTAAAAAACATAGTCTGTATTATGACTATAATAAACACATCCTTAACCTTTTTTTTTTTTTTTTTAACTTTCCCCTTTTCCCTTCCGGTTTTCCTTCTTAAGTTAAAGTTGATTAACAACGTTTTCTTTTCTACCGATTTTTAGGCATCTAAAACCTTGCAAAAGCCACTGAAGCACCCTTTTCAACTGATGGAATGTTTCTAGGCTCTGCTTCAAACTTTCCTGCTTCCATTTTGTGTTGGAAGACAATTCTCCACGGGTCTCTTGTGTTTCTGCACATCTTGTGAGCAGAGGCACTGACAGCTTTTGTTCCTGACAATTTTTTCAAGGAAGTTTGTATAGAGAACAGTTTTGGAAGATAGAAGAGGTAGTCCTCTCCGTGGAGCAAAGGGCAGGTTTGTTTACAGTCCAGTATAATAAAGATAATTTCTCCCTCTGTGGCAAAGGGCAGGTTTGCTTGCTGCCATTATACAAAACAAATTCGAGTTTCTAAGCTCAGGGGGCCTCAGCTATGACACAAACCCACTGTGTGTATAGGCGTCAGCTAGCTCTCATCACATCACCCTGTAGTAATTAGGGCTTGGGGAACGGATGTAAGACAATACTCTGGCTACTGCTATCACTATGAGTAATAAACTGCCCCTTGTCTCTGTCTTCTGCCAGCAACCATGAAATTGTGGCAGATCCTTCATAGTTCTCGACATCTGTTTCCTTAATTTCTGTCCTTCTGCTTTATATATGGATTCTTTTCTCCACATAAATCCTTTAGATGATGACTCATTGGTTGGTGTGTTTTTCTTTCAATTCAATTTCTCTCCAAATTTCTGCATCCTTACTTGACCTTTATCAGTCTAAAGTACCCACTTGTCCAGGAAAAAAAAGAGAATTGGATTACATAATAAGTGACAATGAACTAAAGTCAGAGAGATAAAAAGGATAGAAAAGAAAGTGTGAATGCAAAAAATAGTGAAGATTATACATGGAGAACAGGCCCATGAAAATCCATATGGCAGCTTGTGTTCAATTGTATCCCCATTGGAGACGTGAGTTTAGAGATATGTTGTTTCTGGGGGCTTGAAAGTAGGCTGCATTGCCAGGCTGGGTGCCTTGCTTGTTTGACAGATTGACTCTACCTTTTCTTTTCTTAGTGCTCACTGCTAAAAATATTACTTTCCTTGTACTCCTATTTCTCACCTCTTTTCCCAACCCTCCAACAATAAAATCTGTAGACTCATATTCAGATAAGCATGGTTAGTTATAAAATAATCAGGGATTTTTATTTGCTTATTAACTCTAATTTCAGAGAGTTCCAGAGGGATGAGCAGTAACCCTCTGCAAAAGAAGTCCTGAGATTCAATGGGAACTTATCATAGATGCATAATTCCAGGCCGTATACCTCAAGGATTTTGATTCAGTAGGGCTGGTGGGGCACAGAAAATTTCCATTTCTAGTAAGCTTCTTGGGTGCTCTGTGGAAGTTTGTCTCAGAATATTACATGAGAAACTCTGCTCCAGAAACTGCCTCCTTCTGGCATTATGCACATTTGCTCAGAGTCAACTCCAAATGTATAGCTTAGTCACTGACAAATGTTAGTTGGTTGCAATAATTTGCCCTGGCAGACACTCAACTGCCTAGTTTGTTTTTTGTTTTTTTGTTTTTTTTTCAGTATGCGGGCCTCTGACTGTTGTGGCCTCTCCCGTTGCAGAGCACAGGCTCTGGACGCGCAGGCTCAGCGGCCATGGCTCACGGGCCCAGCCACTGAGCGGCATGTGGGATCTTGCCGGACCGGGGCGCGAACCCGTGTCCCCTGCATTGGCAGATGGACTCTCACCCACTGCGCCACCAGGGAAGCCCGCCTAGAGTGTTTTGATAGTCATTTTTTGACCCATGAAACTGAGATTCATATTAATATGAAAAAACTGCTTAGTTTTAGCATTTGGGGATATATTTGGAAAATTTTCCTTCTGGTCTGTGGTACAATACAATGTACTCATTATTAGCAATGGCCATATATAGAAAGATGTATAAATGGGAGGAAAACACATTGGAAGCTATAGTTTGAAACCACTTTTGGTAAAATACTATTATCCCCAAAATATTCTATTTGAATAAGTTAAACAATGTGAGAATTTTTGAGAGAAAGACTAAAAGGGATTGTTTTTGAAAAGTAAAGACTATCGCAGTCATTGCTGTTGAGATCATAAGATATGAAATAAGATAAATGAAAAAATGACTTTCATCACTGTTTTGAAATATATTTAGAGAAAAGGTATAACATAATGACACAGATGGTTCTGCAGGTATCTCTTAATATTCTAATTTCCTACTAATGACGTTCATGGGAAAATTACTTCTTCATTTTCTCAATGTTGTCCAAACTAAATAGAATTAAATACCCACATAATAGGAGTATCACAGTAACAGCTTTTTTCTTTAAGTAGAATAACACACTTCATGTCCATCAAATTTGATTGGGAATTCCACACTTAAATTTAGTCAGAATAGGGCTTCCCTGGTGGCGCAGTGGTTGAGAGTCCACCTGCCGATGCAGGGGACATGGGTTCATGCCCCGGTCTGGGAGGATCCCACATGCCGCGGAGCGGCTGGGCCCGTGAGCCATGGCCACTGAGCCTGTGCGTGCAGAGCCTGTGCTCCACAATGGGAGAGGCCACAACAGTGAGAGGCCCACGTACTGCAAAAAAAAAAAAAAAAAAAAATTTAGTCAGAATACACTCCAGGTGAAACCCATGAGAATGAAGATAACACCATGAGTATAGGATGCTTTAGAGATAAGGATACCACAGTTTCGAATGCCAGGGACTAGGATGATAATGGAAACACTGCCATCTAAACATTAAACTGAATTATTGTGGAGTTACTTGGGGCAATTGATGTTACATAGAACAATTTGATCAATATTCTAACATGTAAACATTTTCATTGCCAATAGGCAGTGTTTATCAATAGACCACCTCTTAAAAAATCGCAACATATGTTTCAGACAGTATTTTTCAGGTGTTTTATCTTTTCTTTGAAATTATATTGATAAAAGGTTATGGGACTTACAGTTTACGACAATTTTCACTTTTTTCACATCTGGAAATGACACATCATTTTCTGCACTGCATTCATATTCTCCAGCCTGGTCCCGTGTAATTCCATAAATGTCCAAATATTGTCCATTTTCAAATGGTTTCGCTACGTGAAGAAAAAAGTACAGCGTGTTTAATTGTAGCTGCTTGAGGCTTCATTCAAGTAAAACAACGATGATGTGTCTTCCTATTAGATATTGCTGACAAAATAATTCCAAATGTAACTGGGGAATTATTAAACCTTTTGTTCTCTTATATTCAGAGGTAGTCAGAGAAAAAAGCAGAAACTGAACAAGGGATACTATAACAACTGTTTCCCCAGAACAGGATATACATGTGTTCTTTTTAATTGATTGTGGTCTCCTAACCTCCTCACACATCAAATCAAGCTCTGCACATTTCTGTAATTGAGTTCAACAACCTCCTAGCAGTGTAGATGAAATTCACTAATATGACTTGCTACATATTGACTTTTATACAGTGTAAGCTAGCAACTTGACACTTAACCTAACTAAATGCTACTTTTCTTTTGGGGAAATCTCACACTCATTCTCAAAGTTTCGAGCTAGGTGGATTGATAAAAGTATGGAGATATATTAAACCATTGCTATATTTCAGTTTCCATACTTATTAAGGTTTCTAAGGGAGGTATACTATATACACTATACATAACTCACCTAATACTATATACGCTATACATAAACCACCTAATAAAGAAAAAACTTTATGATTCTCAAACTAAGAGTTAAGTGGTTGTAAAAACAAACTAAATTACTTTTATTTTTTAATATTCCAGGGAAAACATTCTATTTGACTAAAAGTGACAGATTAAAAATACAGAGACATAATCATGGATAAAAGGATATTCCCAAGTGAATGGGATTTGAAAAGAAGACTCCTTTCTGAAATAATGGAATTTTTATTTATTTGAAAGTAGAGAATCATCGGGCAGGAGGTTCTTGATTATTAGAGATACTGCAGAGGAAGAATGGGCCTATGTGAATTTTAGGAGGAGGGATTTCACATATAATATCTATGTTAAAATTTTTTTGTCCTTTGGGTTCCCTTGTCTGGGTATATCAGTTGTTGCATTGTTGCCCTCCAGGTAACTATGACTTTGCTAACTGAAATCTGCAGTGTTTAGAATATAGATGATTAAGTCATTTCTCTGGCTGATCACAATTTGTAGACAGAGGAGAGTTATATTTCTGAGATGATAGTTGGCTGATACGTTATTGTAGGTATACAGAGGTAAGCTCACAAAAGCAGCAGTTGTCTTCAAATTCATGTTCTTAAAATCTGATTTTATAATCATTTTCTTTGCTCAACCTGGTAGGTTTATCTGACTCTAAACACTAATATAATATTAAATTTTAATGTTCCCTTCTATTTCTCTTATTTTTAATTCTTACAATGAAGATAATCTTGGCCTAAATGTGTCCATAAAAAACTACTGAAATATAGGGAGGACAAAATCTTTATTCATATCTAAGAATTTTTAAAATATAACTTGAATTATAAAGGGGGATATTAAACAGAAACTAAAGTATGAGGAAAATTGATCTACTATATCAGAATTAAATAATCTCATTGGGCAGTATAAAATGAAGCCAATCACAAGTGAAAATTTGTAAAACCAAAATTTATAAGGGTCTATCTTATTTTCAATATTAAAATATTACATGTAAATTCCCATTTTTGTGAAATGACATAATTTTAAGAAGTGTTACCCCCCAAACACATGTTTTTGATAAATAAATCATTAAATATTGTGTGTATTAGTGTATGTCATTGTTTAAAGAAAGAAACACATTAGATTTGAAATAATAGATTTCAGAAATATAAAAAGAAGCAAGCATGTTTTCTCTCTTAAATGGCTAAATGGCAGACTTTGTAAGACTGACAACTACAAGAAGCTGTGTGACAAAACATCACCAATATCAAAGCCACTACCTCATTCAACTCGACAGCACCACTTACATCTATTGAACATTTGTTCCTAGAGTTCACCGCACAATCTATGCACCCAGATTCAGGGATCCTTCTCCAACCCCACCAGAGAACAATGTCCTTATTTACATACCAGAATTATCAAAGATGTCTATGCATTGCACAAATCAATACCTATAGAGCCAGTGAATGAATGGGTGATATTGCCAACACTAGCTATTGATAATAAGACACTAATATAAAGAAGCATAAATGCATGGTCAACATCTTACTTTTCCCCACTGGATTCCTGATACTTTAAGCCACTCCCTTAATTCCATTCACCATGCATCAGCTCTTCCCAAAGGTGTGCTCTAAGTATTCTCTTGTTTTCACACAACTGTAGTTCTGTTTCCATCCTGAACGCATCTTGCTCTTTTCTCAGTCTAATCTTACCACGCTTGAATTTCAGATTTGAAACTTGGAGTTGCTTTGCCTAGAATTTATACCCTGGAGTGTCCTGGCTGTCTGTGATTTGCTTGGTTGCCTCTTTGGCTTTTGTTATACTCAGTTTTCCTGAGTAGTAATTCTTTACCTTAGTTTTAGACCCAAGGAAACCAATCTTGTCCTTGGACACTTGTCAGGGTCTCTCTCTATTTCCATCACTCCCCTAGTAAAGGAAGACAATTTGCGCATAGTACATTGAAATGCAAAGAGTAACATTTCAGTTCATGCAATCTAACTCAGCTTATCCCCAGAAACCAGAGGGGAAAGACCAAGCCAAGACTTTACAGTGTTTATGAGGGTTATGTACTATCCTAGGGTACTCCTTATAAATCTAGAAGATGTATAAAAATTGTGTAATATTTCATAGGATACCAATTATAAATGTTGGTGAAACATAAGCCATTGTGACTTGGCAGCCTTCTTCTGGTCACAGGTTTTACCATTCTCCATGTGCGCAACAACAATTTCTGTTTTGTTTATCTGCATCCCTAGCTCTACCATGATACTTGAAACAGTATATACTTGGTAAATATTATTGAATAAATAAAAAATACATTGATTAAGGAATTAATAAAGTGCCGTTAGGATAGTGCACGAAGAATCTAAACACATATTTGTAGAAGTTGCCACTTCTCTTTCAGAGTCGAGAAGAAGGGAAAGAACTTTAAAGAATTGTCATCCTTGCTGACGTCTTGTAGTAATAAGTGATGGCAGTGGTGAGAACAGACTCTGGTACAGCTATCACAGATCCTTTTTATGATTATAAAGACTAACAAAAACTTCAAATACAATTTTGAAGAAAAAGCGATAAGTACTTCCTGTAATCTAAACAATAGTTTTCTTTTGTGCTTAGTCTCTTCCAGACATGGATAGACTCGGCTCAGAAAAAAAACTGGAGGGGCTTCCCTGGTGGCGCAGTGGTTGAGAGTCCGCCTGCCGATGCAGGGGACACGG